ATAATCTGTATTTGGTATTTTAAAATAATAATACCTTTTCAAAAAAAGTTGTGTGTGGAATTTTTTGTTTTGTTTTGTTTTGTTTTGTTTTTAGTTTCTCAGAGAAAAGTCTGTGCTCTGGAATTAGATTAACCAATACTATTTTTGGTCACATCCTTATATTTGTCTGTGGTACATCTGTGTTTTTATAAAATACATATTTGGGACACCTGGGTGGCTCAGTCGGTTAAGCGTCCGACTTCAGCTCAGGTCACGATCTCGCAGTCCGTGAGTTCGAGCCCTGCGTCGGGCTCTGGGCTGATGGCTCAGAGCCTGGAGCCTGCTTCCAATTCTGTGTCTCCCTCTCTCTCTCCCCCATTCATGCTCTGTCTCTCTCTGTCTCAAAAATAAATAAACGTTAAAAAATAAAAATAAAAAAAAATATTTAAAAGGGAAAATACATTTACTTAAGAACCTAAACTGTCTTTGCCAAGTTGAACACTTGCTGTGTTCTCATTAAATGTTTTCCTAATTTCTTTTAGGGGTCTTCGATAGTTCGTATGCTTGTGCCTAGAATACACAGACTTGTCCAACTTGTCTGTCCAGACAAGTCCAGATTGTTATATTTTTCACAGTTGTGGTCACTGTGGCACGTATTTGCCTCCCTGTCTTCTTCAAAACTGCTGCCTAGATCTTGGCTATAGTGTAAGATTTATTGTCTTTGAGCTGCCTCTGCTTCTGAGCTGCTGACGCCCATTAATCAGTTTGACTTACTGACCCTGGTGCTATCTGGAACTGTGTGCTTATATTAGATAGGTTGTGGCTGGAGTCCATCCATTATATTTCCAGGCTCTAACTTCTCTGTACGATCCCAGCTTAATCATGCTGGCAAATATCACTCACATATTATAGAACCCCCTTGTATCCCTTATAGGGATACAACCCCTTCACTTAGCTCTGAGGGGTTCTATAAGGGAAAGTTCCACATGGGCTTGGATTATACACCTGATAATTCAGAGCTAAATCTTTAAAAGCTTCAGATGTCATTTACAATCCGTAGGCACTGCAGAACTGTATATTTTAAATAGAGACATATCCTCTGATGGTCTTCTTAAATCATGGAAAGCTAAAACAATGAAACCCAAGTTCAGTGTATCTTTGCCTTAGATAAAAAAAAAAAAACAGATTTGCATGGTTGCAATTCACCTCATTCACCTATGGTGCATTGATTCTGACATCTAATTAAATTGATCAGCCACAATGATCACTAAGGCAATTGTTTGCCAAGCATCACTGGCAAAACAAATTTAGCTTATACTTGTGATGTACTCCATTGTTTCTATCCAGAAGTGGAAACAAATAAGGAACAGGAAATTGAACATAATTTGAATTAGGAGACTGAACACAATTCTGTATCATAATTTGTACATGTATAATAACCACTGTGCATTTTCTTGTTTCTTACTTTGTGAGTCTCCATAATATTAATTTCAGGAGGCTTGCCATTTTCACAGTTAATTCAATTTTGCCAATGTTTTCTTTCAAAAAAATGTGATATTCAATTTAATTGCTTTTAAGAAAAGACTAGAATTGTCTTTCAACTTCTAACATATGTTTTTGTTAAAATCAATCTTTATTAAAGCAAATATCATTTAAACATTCTTTTGCAAACATTTAATTCAAATAGCTTAAATAATGTATATTTAGTTTGAATATTTCATAACAATACATCAATACTTTCACTCAGATTCTGATAACATATGTAAAAAATATTCTTGAAAACAATAATGAAACTCCAGAAAAAGCTGTCAGTAGAACTAAGGATGACTTTTTGGCTTCAAGTTTAATATAGAAACTAGATCCAATGGTGAAATCCACATAATTAGCAGAAATTAAAATAAAATGGAGGGTCTTAATTTTTCTCAAGACTTTTTTTAAAAGTAATTAGTAAAACAGTAAGTTTATTCATGGGCATTTGTATTCTGTCCTTGTGTGAGTTAAGAAAATATGTGTGGGGGCATGTGATATATATATTTTTTCTCACGTCAGAGTAGTCAAGATATGCTTTTTTATTCAGAAACATATACAATAATTGTCACAAAAAATGGTCACTCTCATTAAAATTGTCTTAATGTGGCAGGAGAATGTTTATGCATCTCTTCTATAGTCTTTCTTCCTTTTTTCCTTCAATAGGAAGGGGTCTTTGTTAGAAAGAGTGAAGGGGCCAGCCAAAGCTTTGTGGTATAGCATGCATAATTCCCAAGACAAATCTAATGGGTGAAAAAGTGTCTATTTCTTCTATAGCTGTATGTAATTTTTATTTTGAGAATCTCATTTCATTAGGTAGCAGACACATTCATTAAGAGTTTTCTCTGACACTTTGGGTACCGTCTTTCTCCAGGGTGAAACCTAGATTCTTGGAAGCATTCTCTATGTCAAGTCTATGATGTGAAGGAACCTCTTGTCCTTGGTCATGATCATCCCTGCACATTGTTGTCTGCAGAGCTATGCATCTTCTCATTTGGATTCCCTGGCTACCACTGAACCCTCTCTTCTCTGCCTGTATAGCTCCTTCAGCTGTTTCTTCGTCCATTGTTGGTAAACAGAAGTATTTGGCTATTTAGCCAGTCCTCTAGAAGTCTTAGGCCACCACGTACAGATCCCCATGAACTTTGGGTGAGAGAACTTTAACACAGAATACGGACATCTTACTTTGTAATTTCTGGGGTATCAGACGGGCTGCTCTTTCTCTGGACTCAACTGATGATTAGAGGACCCCTCTGATCTCATATTTACCAAATTTAACTGGGATTTCTATTATATTACTAGGAAGTATGTCCTTTCATGGTAAGCAGAGGAATAGAAACAAGGGGAAGATGGAGGCTGTGGGAAAGAGCTGGGTCAGAGAATGGCAGGGAGCAGTGGCAGTGTCCCATAGACATGACTCCCCATGCTCATTCATGGGGGACTAGTCTTTATGGGCAAACAGCCTTCTTGAGGGGAAAAGTAGGGTCATGTTTTATAGCATCTTCAGGACTCAAAGGTTTGTGTGTGTGTGTGTGATTTGTCTTAATTTCTTTTCCTTTGAAAATTTATACCCTTCCCAAACCAGTCAGTGTAACTAAAGAAACTGAGTATACATGTGTGTATACAGACACATATACATATACATATATAAATATGTAAATATGCTGAACTCTTCTTTCCAAATTAGGTATTTTTAAAGTAGCTGATTCTAAAAAATAGGTCAAAATTCATAAAATTCTATATATTATGTATTGTTTCTATAGACTTATTACCCTCGACATCTTCAAGCTTCCTGTCTACCCTTATTCTAGTTTCAAACTCATACACATATACACATAGGTTCTAGTCACCCTCATTACTTCATGTTATCTCCTATATCAAGGACTTCTGTCTAGAACATTCTTCCCTTCTACTCATAATCAGTGCTTCACTTGGGCCATTTCTATTCATCTTTAGATCTTCATTATGGGTGATATGCTCAGGAAGTTTCCTTATCCTTAAGTTTAAGCCAAGAAACCCTTACATGTGTGTGCCCATAGTATCCAATAGCAGTTTGCACTTTATTGTCAAAATATGCATAGCATTGCCTGTAACTGTCCAGGTTCTCAAAAAGTCTAAGCTCTAAGGGAAGGTTTTATGTTTATTTTGTTCACTGTTCTAATCTTGTGCTCAGCACAGGGCTTGACAGATGGTATAATTTTTGAAAAATAAATATTGAGCATAGGTGAGTCAATGCAAAAATCAGAATCAAAGAATCTAAGCAAGTCCTAAGGAAAGTTATATTAGAATAGGTGATCTAATGACATCAAGAAACTGGCCTCAGAGAATGGAAGTGTCCAGGTCTTAGACATGAAGGACAACTTCTATTTTGTTGTTTACTGAATAGAATATAGTCAACTAAAGGTTGTATTGGTGGCTTAAAATACTTATTAAATCTAGGCCATATAGAAGATGACTTTACAGACAAGTAGTGATTTGACTGGCACCAGTTCAGTTTATCACATGTAAGTAGTTTGGCATAGCATAAAAATTATATAAAGAGGATGAAAGCATTTAATAATTTGGTAATTATAAAAGACAGTGAAAACGGTGTAAAAATAGTTTTACTACAGTAAATACAATAAACACTTCAGTAACAACCAAGTGAAACCAAAAGAAACCTTGTCTAAAAGATGAGAAAGGAAATTGAATGTCCACAATGAATAAAACTTCAAGTAAAATAAAAGAATGAAACTAATGCTTAATTAGCCCTTCATATAATTTCATCCCCATCCAAGTTGTGCAAATAATCATTTATTATCCTGTTGTCGCAGATAAGGAGGAAAGGTGCCAAGAATTTATTGCAAATAGAAATGGTATAACAAAAACCATGATGACTTACTGCATTCTTATCAAGTACCAGTCCTCACGTTAAGGGGTTTACAGTCATTATCTAGTATTAGCCTACTAATTATTCAATAATCTAGAACAAGGTTTTAATAAGGCTATTAATTGCCTACAAATACAGCATAAACTTTTATTATAATGTTAACTTTCCTGTCTAAAGTTTTTAATTCTTTGAAACAATTGTTTTGGTTTTTAAAAAGCATAATATAAACAAAAGAGCCTATGTACAATTAAAGTAATAAGTGTGAAAAATGTGGTATCGTTTGAAAAATATCAATTTTTATTTTCCTTCTCAAGTATATTACTTCCTTCCCAATTGCCCCAAGGGATCAGTCAGACTCAAGAGAGATCATGATTTATTACAGAAGGCATGCCAAATTAAAAAGTTAGATATAATTTAACATCTCACATGCAAAATAAGATTTTGCAGCAAAATGAGACTTACAAGCTGGACTCTGGGAAGGAATTTTCTACACTTCTTTAGTTCTCCTTTGGCTAAGCGTAATTCTGAATGATTGCAGTCATGGAGATAATAGAGTTTATTTCTCAGTATAGAAAAGCATTTTCCACTATGAGGGTCAAGTCTTAGGTTTGTTGTCTTTACACAGAAGGAATATATGATCAAGAAGAGTGGGGAAAAGCAAATTCCTTTCTAATCTTGGAGGATGGAGAAGAGGAGAGAAACAGGAAATGAGATGGAAGGAGGAAAGACGTCACCAAGGAGGTGTCTCCATGTCTCTTCCTGAGACTCCAGCCCACGTAAAGGTGAGCAAAAGGAGGGTCGGGTAAGCTGAGGGAATGCAAAGGGCAGAGGAGCATCAGTAGGTTTAAGACTTTTGAGGATTTGCTCTTTAGGGTTTCAGCATCATGTGAGATGGGCCACATAGTTAAAAAAGAGGATCTGTTGACCCTACAGGGAATGCCTACATTACCTTTGAAGCCTACATCATTGATATGTGTAGAAACTGGTTTAAATGATTTATGTGGAAGTATCCATTTAATCTTTAAAAAAATGTCTTCCCCAAGTTCATAATTTTTTTTTGATGTTTTTGTTTTTGAGAAAAAGACCGAGTGTAAGAGGGGGAGGGGCAGAGAGAGAGGGAGATACAGAATCAGAAGGAGGCTCTAGGCTCCCAGCTGTCAGCACAGAGTCTGACGCGGGGCTTGAACCTACAAATTGGAGATCATGACCTGAGCTGAAGTCGGATGCTCAACAGACTGAGCCACCCAGGTGCCCCAGGAAGACATTTTTTTATAAAGAGGAAACTTGCCTTAGGTCACACCACTAAGAGGAGAAACAGGAATTAAAATCTATGCCATTTGGAGCTAGAATTTGTACATTTAATCACTGTGCTGCATGAATGGAAACTAAGTTGTCACCCCAGAATGTTAACAAAGAGACTCTTTTTCTATTTATTTTTATTTTTATTCCAGTATACAATATACTGATGCAACAATTCTGTGTATTCCTCACTGCTCATCATGATGAGTGTACCCTTAATCACTTTTACCTATTTCACCTATCTCCCCTCTGGTAACCATCCATTTGTTCTCTATAGTTCAGAGTCTTTTGTTTGGTTTGAAAGGATATATGCACCCCTGTTTATTTCAGCATTATTTACAAGAGCCAAATTATGCAAGCAGCCCAAGTGCCCATCAATATATGAATGGATAAAGAAGATGTGGATACACACACGCACGCACACACACATACACACAGTTACAGTGGAATATTATTCAGCCACAAAAAAATAAATTCTTGCCATTTGCAACAAAAGAGATGAATCTAGGGAGTATAATGCTAAGCAAGATGAGTTAGGGAAAAACAAAATACCATATGATTTCACTCATATGGAATTTAATAAATAAAACACAAGGACTGTCAAAATTATTAGATCTAATCTCAGTTTCAACCAATTTAGACATTTAGTTTTTTTAATGCTCCCTCATGAATAGGACCTTATTGGGAGTGTAAAATGAATTATAAAACAATAATAGAAAAATGAAATTCCTGTATAAACATGTTTCCTTCACATATACACGGGTGTATATACACACACACACATACACATATATATTCATACACACACATTCACATATGCCTTCAACTTCTTTTTCCCTAGAACTCTTAGAATTATCTATTTTTCTATTTCTTAAGCAGCTGTTAGCATGGGCTCCTGAATCACCAAGCACGACTCTATCCAATACAAATTAAACCTCAGAATAAGTATTGAGTCTACCTGCCTTGTGTAATGGTGTCCTGGAAGAGTTCAGTGATGCAATTCATCCCCTAAATATTTATTAAGCATCCTTCATGGGAAGGCACATTTCAGACTTTGGGATATATAATCAACATACATTGCAATATGAGGAAAACACACAATAAACACAATATAAAGTAAATTATAGAGAATTTTAGAGGGTATGTGTGTGATTGGAAGAATATAGTAAAAGGTAAGGAGGATAGGAATGACACATTTGGGATTTCAATTTCACATAGAGTGCTCATTTAAAATAATATTTTAGAGTATTGCAAATTAGATAACCTGGGACAGTAACATATATCTGGAATTAAAATAGATAGCTGTAAAATCCAAAATGTATGGGGAATATTTTCTAACTTTTAAGTTATAGCAAAGTCACTAAAATATCTTATTTTCATGAAGGATTGGGCAAGAGGATTATTTTAAATTGAAATATAGTTAACATATAGTATTATATTTTTTGCCTCATTATATATATTTTATTTCCATTAGTAGTTGTGTAATTTAATATATTAAATGCTAACTTAGTCATTTTCTTTGAAGCAGAGAAAGAAGCTGATAAACATTCCAGTCCTCACATGACAATGAATAACCTTTTATCAAGGCTGCATCAATTCAGGGGCTCTCACTCTTTAATCAGGGCAAGTAGACTTAAGGAATACATATATGAAGGAGAGTTCCTTTCTTACATTCAATTATGCATTATATATCTTAACATAAGGATAATGGGATCACCATAGATATTTGAGGACCATAACAACCTTGGGTCTCCACAGAGTCCATGATCACTTGAACATACAGTATTATATTAGTTTCAAGTGTATAATAATTTAATTCTACAATTCTATACATTACTCGGTGCTCATCACAATAAGTATACTCTTAATCCCCTTTATCTATTTAACCATCCCCCTACCTGCCTATCCTCTGTCAGCCACTAGTTTGTCCTCTGTATTTAAGAGTCTGTTTTTTTGTTTGCTTTTTATTTGTCCATTTGCTTTATTTCCTAAATTCCACATATGAATGAAATCATATAGTATTTGTGTTTCTCTAACTTATTTCACTCAGCATTATACCCTATAAATCCTTCTATGTTGTTGCAAATAACAAGATCTCATTCTTTTTCGTGTGTGATTAAGATTACATTTTATATATGTTTATACCACAGCTTCTTTATCCATGTATGGTGGACACCTGGGTTGCTTCCATATTGGCTGTTGTAAATAATGCTGCATTAAACATTGGGGTGCATATATCTTTCTGGATTACTATTTTTGTTTTTAGAGGCAGATACTCAGTAGTGGAATTACTGGATCATATAGTAATTCTGTTTTTAATTTTGAGGGACCTTCAAACTTTTCTACAGAGGCTGCACCAATTTGCATTCCCACTGACAGTGCACAAGGGTTTGTTTTTCTCCACATCCTCATCAACACTTGTTATATCCTGTGTTTTTATTTTAGCCATTCTGAGATATATGAGGTGATATCTCATTGTTGTTTTAATTTCCATGATGATGAATAACAGCATCTTTTCATGTTTCTCTTGGCCATCTGTACGTCTTTGTAAAATGTCACTCAGGTCCTCTGAATTTTTATTTAGATTGTATTTTTGGTGTTGAATTGTAGGAGTTCTTTATATATTTTGAAAAATAGCCCCTTATCAGATACACAATTTGCAAATATCTTCTCCCATTCAGTAGGTTGACTTTTTGTTTTGTTGATGGCTTCCTCTGCTTGTGTAAGCTTTTTATTTCAGTGTAGTCCCACTAGTTTAATTTTGCTTTTGTTTCCCTTGCCTGAAGAGACATATCTAGAAAAATACTTGTATGGCTTGTGTCAAGTAAATCACTGCCTATGTTTTTTCCAGGAATTTAATGGTTTTAAGTCTCATACTTAGATCTTTAATCTGTGTTGAGTTTATTTTAGTGTATGGTGTAAGAGAGTGGTCCTATTTGATTGTTTTACAGGTGCTTTCCAGGTTTCCCAGCATCATTTGTTGTAGAGCCTGTATTTTTCCTATTGTATATTTTTACCTCCTTTGTCTTACATCAATTGACTGTATAATTTGGGTTTATTTCTGAGATCTCTAACCTTTTGATCAGTGTGTCTGTTTTTGTGCGAGGACCATATTGTTTTGATTATTATAGTTTTGTAATTGATCTTGCAATCTGGGATTGTGATACCTCCAGCTTTGTTCTTTCTCAAGATTTCTTTGGCTCTTTGGGGTCTTTTGTGGTTCCTTACAAGTTGTAGGATTATTCTAGTTTTGTGAAAGATGTTTTTGGTACTTTGATAAGGATGGCACTAAATCTGTGAATTGCTTTTGGTAGTATGGACGTTTAAATAATATTGGTTCTTCCAGTCCATGAGCATGGGATATCTTTCCACTTGATTGCATCTTAAGTTTCTTTCACCAGTGTTTTATAGATTTTAGCATACTCGTCTTTCACCTCCTTGCCTAAGTTTATTCCTAGTTCTTTTTTTCTTTTTGGTGCAATTATAAGTGGAATTTTTAAATTTCTCTTTCCAGAACTTTTTCATTAGTGTGTAGAAATACAACTGATTTCTGTGTATTTATTTTGTAACCTGTGACCTAACTTAATTCATTTATCAGCTCTTTGATAGCTTTTTGATAGAGTATGTGGGGTTTTCTACACACAGTGTCATGTTATCTGCAAACAGTGAAAAAGTAATTTGGTTGCCTTTTATTTCGCTTTCTTGTCTGATTGCTGTGACTAAGACTTTCAGTACTCTGTTGAATAAGAGTGGCGACAGTGGACATCTTGTCCTTCCTGATCTTAGGGGAAAAGTTCTCAAAAAGTTTGTCACCATTGAGTACAATGTTAGCCTTGAGTTCTTCATGTATAGTCTTCATTATGTTGAGGTATGTTTCCTTTAAAACTACTTTGTTGAGAGTTTTTATCATGAATGGATGTCATATTTTGGCATATGATTTCTCTCTACCTAGTGATATGATCATCTAGTTTTTATCCCTTCTCTTATTAATGTGATATATACACTGATTGATTTGCAAATATCAAACCATCCTTGCATCTCTGGAATAAATCCTACTTGATTGTGATGAATGATTTTTTTAAATGTATTGCTGGATTTGTTTCACTAATATTTTGTTGAGGATTTTTGCATCTGTGTTCACTAGAGATATTTTTCTATAGTTTTCTTTTTTTTGTAATGTCTTTATCTTGTTTTGGCATGAGAGTAATGCTAGTCTCATAGAATGAGCTTGAAATTTTCCATCCTCTTCTAATTTTGGGGATGGTTTGAGAATAGGTATTAACTCTTCTTGAAATGTTTGGAAGAAATCACCTGTGAAGCCATCTGGTCCTGATCTCTTGTGTGTTGGGAGTTTTTACATTACTGATTCAATTTTATTGCTAGTAATTGGTCTGTTCATATTTTCTATTTTTTTCTGATTCAGTTTTGGGAGATATATTTCTAGGAATTTATTTCTTCTAAGTTGTCCAATTTCTTGGCTTATAATTTTTCATGGTATTCTTTTATAATCCTGTGGTATATTTTATTTCTGTGATGTAATTTCTTCTCCTTCATTTCTGATTTTATTTATTTGGGTATTCTTTCTTATTTTTTTTTGTTGAGTGTGGCTAAAGTCTTCTCAGTTTTGTTGATCTTTTCAAAGAACTAGCTCCTGGTTTTGTTAATCTATTCTACTCTTTTCTTTTTCTTTCTTTTTTATTCTCCATCTCTTTATTTCTTCTCTGGTCTTTATTATAATTTTTTTCCTTCTTCTGGCTTCAGGGTTTTTTATTTTTTTCTAGACCCTTCAGGTTTAAATTTAGGTTATCTGAGATTTTTCTTGCATCTTGAGGTTGGCCAGTATTGCTATAATCTTAGAAAAGGCTTTTGCTGCATCTCAAAGGTTTTGGGCCATTGTTTTCACTTTGATTTGGCTCAGTGTGTTTTTAGATTTCCTCTTTGATTTCTTGGCTGGCCCATTCATTGGTTAGTAACATGTTACTTAGTCTCCACATATTTGTGTTCTTTACAAATTTTTTCTTGTGATTAATTTCTAGTTTCATACTGTTGTGGTCTGAAAATATGCATGATATTATTTCAGTGTTTTTGAGTATATTGAGACTGTTTTGTGACCTAACATGTGGTCGATTCTAGAGAATGTTTCATGTGCACTTGAAAAGTATGTATTCCATTGTCTTGTTGAATGTTCCTTTTATCATTATGTGGTGTCCTTCATTGCTCTTGTAGTGTTTGTTTTACAGTCTGTTTTGTTCAATGCAAGTATTGCTACCCCAGCTTACTTTTTGCCTTCATTTGTATGGTAAATGTTTTTGCCCCCTTCACTTTTAATCTGCATATGTCTTTAGGTCTGAAGTAAGTCTCTTGTAGCCAGCATATAGATAGGTCTTGTATTTTTTTTTTCTATTTAGTCACCTTATATTTTCTCATGGAGCATTTAATCCATTTACATTCAAAGTAATTATTGGTAGGAATTTGTTTTATGGTTGTTTTTCTGTTTCCTGTTCGTTCCTTTCTTCTCTTGGCTCTCTTCCCTTGTGGTTTGACTTTCTTTAGTGATAATGATTGGATATTATTCTCTTTATTTTTGTGTATCAATAGCTTTTTGATTTGTGGTTACCATTAGGCTCATATATAACATCTTAGGCATATAGCAATCTATATTAAGTTGATAGTGGCTTAAGTTTTAATCCATTCTAAAAGCACTGAATGTTTACTCTTTCCACCCCACATTTTATGTATATGATGTCATATCTTATGTCTTTTTATTTTGTGAATCCCTTGACTTTTTTTTTTTTTTAGATATAATTGATTTTACTGCTTTTGTGTGTTAATAATTCATACTGGTTTTATAAGTGATTAATCTACTTCTTTCATTATGTTTATATTCACCTGTAAATTTTTTTCCATTCCTAATTTTTCCTTTTCCTAACTTTCTGCTTGATTATGACCTTTATTTGCACTGAAGAAATTTCCTTAACATTTCTTGTAAGGCTGGTGTAGTGATGATGAACTCCTTTAGCTTCTATTTGTCAGGGAAATTCTTTTTTATCTCTTTCTATTCTAATGGTAGCCTTGCTGGGTAGAGCATTCTTTGTTGCACGTTTCTTTTTTTCCTTTCAGAACTTTGAAAATATCATGCAACTCCCTTCTGGCCTGCAAAAAGTTTCTACTGAAAAATCAAGTGATAGACTCATGTGGTTTCCCATGTACATAATTGTTCTCTTTTATAGCTTTTAAGATTCTCTTTTCATCACTATGTTTTGCCATGTTAATTATTATAAGTCTTGATGTGGACCTGCTTTAATTAATTTTGTTGGGGGATCTTTGTACCTCCTGGATAGACATCCATTTCTTTCTTTAGGGAAGTTTTCAGCTGTTTTTCCTTCAAATAATTTTTTGCCTCCTATTCTTTTCTTCTTTTGGGACTCCTTATGATGTGAATGTTACTATGCATGATGATGTAATTGAGTTCCCTTAATCTATTGTCATTTTTAATTTTATTTTTTTCTTTTTGTTCAGCTTGATTGCTTTCCATACTCTACCAGCTTGCTGACCCATTCTTCTGTGCCCTCTAATCTGCTGTTGATTCCTTTTATTATATTTTTAATTTCAGTTATGGAGTTCTTCAATCTGAAGAGGTTGTTTTTTATATTTCTCATCTCTTTGTTGAAGATCTCACTGAAATCCTCCACTGTTTTCTCAAGTCTGGTGAGTATCTTTATCAGGCATATTGCTTATCTCTGTTTTAGAGCTCTTTTGCTTTATTTTGCCCTGTTCTTTCATTTTGGGATATTCCTCTGTCTCCCCATTTTGTATTAACTCTCGGTATGTGCTTCTGTGTGGTAGGAAAATCAGTTAAATCTCCTGATTTTGAAAGTAGTGGTTTCATGAAGTGTTCCTGTGGTTCCTTAATAACACAGTATCTCCTGTTCACCAGAATCAGGCACTTCAAGCATATGTCCTATGTTGGTTGTCTGTGTCCGAGTTGTGGCTGAGCCTCATTTGCCTTCAGTCCATTTGGCTCCCATTGGCCCACTTTGCCTGTTGTTGGTGCACCAGGAGGGTTTTGTCTCTGCGCTGAAATGGGATCTGCCTGGGGCTGTCATGGGCTAGTAGTTTGGTAATATCAGCAATCACACCAGATACCTGCCCCTTCCCCTATTTTATCTGCAGTAGGACCAATATGCAGGGTGTTCTCCCATGCCTTGTTTCTGGAGAGACTTCCTTGGTGAGTGGGGCTGGCGTCAGACCAGATGCCTTTTGCCATTCCATTTGCTGAGGCTACAGTTGAACTGATCGGCAGGGTACTTTCTCCGCCCTGCCAGCTGTAAGGTTTGGCTGCTGGAACTGCAGGTGCTTTAGTGTGTGATCACCTTCTCCTCTTACCAGGGCAGGAGTTATTTTGCAGTGGTGAAAGCTGGGGCTGCTTGCAGGGTGTGTTGGGGCAGGAGCTGCTTTGGAGGAATGCCTGCCAAGCAGGGTAGGTTGGATGAGTCAAGTACACAGGAGCATGCCATAGCAGGCTATGTGGTTGCAGCAAGATAGGTGGAGAATGTTCACATAGGTTTCTGCAAGTGTCTAGCTATCTAGACTAGTGTATGGGGAGAGAAATGACACCTGCCATCTCTTTTGATCTTGGAGAAGTCTTCTAAACATCAGTTCATGTTCTGAGATTAATAAATCTTAGGCAAAAGGATGTTTAAGTCTTCAAAAATACATCTTAGCTCAGTAGAAATGAGAAAGTGATGCATACAGATATTGATAAAGAGTGCTAAAGAAATCAGGACCTGAGCCAGTGCTTCGGCAAGGCTCCAGTATGTTCACACCTCCCTGTATCCATATGTGTTGGTAGTGCCTTCTCATACAGGGTCTGTGGTTGGTAACTGATTACTTTAATAAATATGATATGAGCAGGTAAGATGAATGCAGAAACTGTAGAAGTGCTTGTGCATTAATGCTACTTTATTAGTGCTCTTAGACCCCTGAGACCACCAAGCAAATAAGTCCAGACTAGGCCTCTGGAGTATGATGGACACCCAACTAACAGTCATCGACCGACTCAAATATCTGAGAGGCCAGGCTGTCTCCGCTGACCCTCAAGCTGACCATGGTTATCATAGATGCTCAGATGACTGTACCTGAGACCAGTACCTTCCAGCAGAGTCCAGCTCATGTTTCCTACCCATAGAATAATGAGCTAAATAAATGGTTGTATTAAACCAGTCAGTGTGAGACAGTGTTACAAAGCACAAGCCAGCTGACACTTATTTAACCACTTCAATGCTGACAGCCTATTAGCATATTTTAGCCAGGAATTACTTAACCTCAGTAAGCTTTTAGAATTTCCTCAGTTTGTAAATATTTCATAAAAACAAGCTGGTTGCTATGTAAAGAAAATTACATACCCTTATGCATACATTTTTTGGTTGTTACCTAGGTAGACAACCAGTAAATACAATCAAAGTCTTAGGAATATTTACAAGTTCTAGGTAGACATTTATCAAATTTTCATTATTATGTCTAGGCACATTCTTTGCCCACCACATCCTATATAGTAGTTACCTGCTAAGTGCACATCTATGCAATGCATTTGTCAACTCAGAAGAACAAGGCCAGCAGTTATGCTTGATTATACAGAATAAATACATAGTGTGAAAATTGAAATTAGACATGCTTATTAGAAAATGTGATGATTATTTCTATTCCAGGGCCAAATTAAATAAAACGCCTTATTGATCTGGATTGAATTTCAATTTGCTAAGGTTGGTGCCAGCCAACTCCTGTCCTGCAATGTCTGAAGAGAAATGCTTGCAAGTCCAATAACCTATTCATCACAGGTGATAAAAAAAAAAGTCAATAAATTACTTTTTACTACAGGAGAAATTTCTGCTTTATATGCCAACAAAGAGTTGAAATGCCAGAAGCAGTTGAGGACTAAATTACTAAACACTTATTTTATCACATCAGAACGTTAATGCCACTGCTTGATTACAACAAGCAATCCAATTGCATGAATTTGGACTCTAAGGCACCCAGGCTTTTATATTCATTAGAAAAGTTATTGATTCTGGAAAGTTACCACTAATAAAACTACACTATTTTCTCAGGCATGTTATATAGGCACCGACAGATTATTTGATCAATGATATTGAGCAAAGGCAAAGTACTCATTGCCTCTAATCTCTTTTCCCTCCCTTCTAAATTATACATTGGTCTCAACGGCAGCTTGATGAGTAAACATGGACCCTATGTGAGCCCAGAATGTACCCCTCTGTGTACAACAGAAGGTTCTTATTTGGCCTCACACAGCTATATATGATTTTTGATAGTAAAACTTGAGTGTTTTGATTAAAAAATAATAAAAACCTAAAGTTAAAAAGGACAATAAAATAATATGAAATTATGTTAGTAAAAATTGTACATTTATACAAAAGTATAATTTTGTTATGATTTGGTTTTAGCAAAGTCATACATAAGTTATGCACTTGCATTTATCAGCTGCTTGAATGTCAGTGGAAAAATACTTCCTTTTTTTCTATTTTTCTATATTTTTTTATTTTAGAGGGAGAGGGGCAGAGGGATAAAGAGAGAGACAGAACCTTAAGCAGGCTCCACATTGCACAGAGCCTGACATGGGGCTTGATCCCATGACCCTGGGATCATGACCTGAACCGAAATCAAGAGACACTCAACCAATTGAGCTACGTAGGTGCCCCTGAAAAGTTACTGTTTCATCAGTTAAAGAATACTAGGAACTTCTATGAATGCTAGAACTCCTAGGAAAATGGTGAGGTAGGAGGATCCTAGGTTCACGTTATCCCACGGACGGACCTACAGTATAGCCACATCAAGAACAGTAGGAGGGGGGGAGATGGGTCAGGGAACCAAACTCCTAGTGAGACTAACCACAAACAGAAGGGGCACCATAAGCAAGCAGAGGGTAGAAGAGCAGAACCCAACCAGGCATCCTAGGCACGGGGGACCTGCACTGGGAAGACAAGTCCCTACAATATTTGGCTTTCAAAACTAGCAAGGCTTAATTCCAGTACTTGAAAATTCAGTGGGCTTAGCTCTGGGAGCACTGAAAGCAGTAAGAAATTGAAATTGCCCTTAAAGAGCCAGTATAACAAACAACCCCTTGGAGAAACAGCATAGAAGCAGTAGTTTCAAAAGCACCTGGGGTGTACATGAAGATTTTTTTTCCATTCCCCAAATAATTTAATTCTATTGGATTTTCTCCTCAGCCTATAAGGGTCTTCAAACCTTGATCATCTTAAGGAAAAACAACAACAACAACAAGCAAATAATACATTTCCAAAACCCTTAACTTGCACTCCACTATATTCTTCCTTCTAGCTATCACATCATATTTCTTCCCTTTTAGCAAAACATCTGAGTAGAATTGCCATTCAGGCAGCTAACTTTGTCAGCCTCTGGACATCAACTTAGCATGCTATATTCTTTTTTCTTGGAGGAGGGGGTTGGGGAGGGAGTTATTTTTTCCCATTTTATTGAGAAGTCATTGATATACGTTACTAGATAAATTTAAAGTGTACAGCATGATGGCTTTACCTATACTGTGAAATTATTACCTTAATAGGTTCAGTTTCATCCATCATCTTTTCTAGATAGAACTAAAAACAAATTTTTCTCCTTCTGATGAGAACACGTAGGTAGGATCTAGTCTCTTAAAAACTTTCCTCTGTATCATACAGCAATATTAACTATAGTCATCATGTTGTACATTATATTCCTAGCATGTATTTATCTTATAATGGGAAGTTTGTACATTTTGACCACCTTCCTTCGATTACCCCTCTCCCCACCTCCCACCTCCGGCAGCCACAAATCTGATCTCTTTTTTTATAAATTTGTTTTTAGTTTTTTATTAGATTCCACATGTGAGATAATACAGTATTTGTCTTCCTCTGATTTAGAAAAATGTCTTCAAAATCCAACCATGTTGTCACAAATGGTAGGATTTCTCCTTATTTATATGTGTCTATATGTATTTATATGTGTGTACATATATATATGTACATATATAAGGTTTTAAATTTTAATTCCAGTAAGCATACAGTGTTATATTAGTTATTAGTTTAGGGTGTACAATATAGTAATTCAATTCTATCATTACTCAGTGCTCATTATGATAAGTATACTCTTATTCTGCTTCACCTATTTCACCCATCCCGCCTGATATGCTTTATTTTAAATAAGTACCCCCAGTTAAAGTCATTATTTTTTTTCAACAAGAACATTTTTTTCACTTGAAACATACTTCAGAATACATGGTTCTAAAAGATATATATGTGTGTGTGTGTGTGTGTGTGTGTGTGTGTGTGTGTGTGTATATATATGGCATTCCATCCAAAAAAAATAGAATGCACATTTTTTCATGTATACACAGAAGAATTGCCTGGTTAGATCACATGAAAAGAGGCATAACAAATATTACAAATTTAAGATACATGAAGACTTATTTACTAACCTCAGAATGTGCATTGGATGGGCATGGATCTTTAGGAGAGACTTTTCCAAGAACAAAAGATCTGGCAGGTGTCATTTCTTCCCTCTAAACCCCCATGGTAGCTAGACACCTACAGGAACTTGCACAAGCATCTTCCACCTAACTTGCTAACACCACAAACTATGACCCCACATTCTCCTGCAGATTTGCCCCATCCAATCCCCCCACCACTCCTAGGCAGGAGTCCCTCCAAAGCAGCTTCTATACCATCTCATCCTGCAAGCAGCCTTAGCCAGGACTGCCACCACGCCAAAGTGATTCCTGCTTTGGGCACAGGGAAAGATAATAACACACAGAAGTGCGACAGCAGCACCAACAGTGCAGAGTGCCCCATCAATCAGTGCATCTGCAGCCCAAACAGATTGGCTGGGGACAGGAACATAATCTGACTTCCTGCACCACCCACCAACAAAAACCTCTCAGGGAATAGATAGAATAGCTCTGCAGTTTGGAGTCACTGCATCTCCCATCAATTGGACGCAGGATATGGTTTGCCTGTAGGACCATCCCAACGATGAAAACCCCTCAGGGCACAACATAGGGAGAGAGTCCTGTGGTTTGGTGTGATCACAGCCTCAGGAAATGTACTGAGGACAGACATCCTGTCTAAATGCTGATACTGCTCAACTATAAGTCCATGGGGCTGTAGACTGGCTCCTTAAAAGCCCTGGGACCAAAAACCTGGCCCGTAACAGGCAAAGTAGGCCATTGTAGCTGAATGGGCTTAAGGCAAACAAGACCCAACCAGAAAAGCAGGGTACATGCAACCTGCATATGACACATCCATACAATGCCTGGTTCAAATGAACAGAGGACAGTGCACTACAAGGCACCACATGAACACTTCTTCAGAAGGCTGCTACTTCCAAGATCAGGAGACATAGCTGATTTCCTAACACATAGAAACACTGAAAGTTTTTCAAAATGAGGAGACAGGAATATTCCCCAAATTAAAGAACAGGACAAAATCAAGCAAAAGAGCTAAATGAAACAGAAATGAGCAATGTGCCTGATAATTCAAAATAACAGTCATAAAAATATTCACTGAACTTGAGAAAACAGTGGAGAATCTCAGACCTTCAACAAAGAGATGGAAAATGTGAACAAGAACCTACCCACGTTGAAGAACTCAAAAACTGAAATTAAAAATATACTAGAAGCAATCAACAGCAGATCAGAGCACATAGAAGAATGGGTCAGCAAGCTGGAAGACAGAGTGGTGGAAAGCAACCAAGCTGAACGGAAAAGAGGAAAAAAGGAGAAAAAAAATAATTAAAAAAAAATGACAAGAGCTTCAGGGAACTCAACAATATCAGCAAGCATAGTCAAATTTGCATAGTAGGGATCCCAGAAGAATAGTGAGAATAGGGGACAGAAAAACTATTTGAAGAAATAATAGCTGAAAACTCCTCTAATCTGAGTAAGACATACACCCAAATCTAGGAGGCACAGAGAACTCCCAGCAATATCAACCCAGGGAGGTCCACACCAATATATAATAATTAAAATGGTAAAATGTAGTGATAGGGAATTTTAAAAGAAAAGAAAATAGTTACATACAAGGGAAATTCCATGAGTCTTGTCACTTGATTTTTCAGCAGAAACTCTGCAGGCCAGAAGGGAATGGCATGATATATTCAAAGTGCAAAAAGGAAAAAAATATGCAAACAAGAACACTCACCCATTTAGACTGTCACTCTGAAAAGAAGGAGAGACAGAGTTTCCAAAAAATTAAAAGAGTTCATCACCATTAAACCAGCCTTACAAGAAATGTTAAGTAAATTCTTTCAGTAAAAATGATGGCCCTAATCAGGAATAAGAAAATTAAGAAAGGAAAAAATGCACAGGTAATTACAAACACAATTAAAGAGGTAGATTAGTCACTTATAAAACAAGTACAGAAATTAAAGCATAGAGAAGTAAAATCAATTATAAAAATCAGAGGATTCACAGAATAAAATGATGTAAAATATAACATCATATACATAACATATGGGGATAGGGGAGTAAAAAATTTAGTGCTTTTAGAATGTATTCAGACTAAGCCACTATCAGCTTGATATAGACTGCTATATGCCTAAGATGTTGTATATGAGCCTAATGGCAACCACAAATCAAAAAGCTATAATAGATAACACAAAAAATAAAGAGAAAAAAAATATGTCAGTAAGGAAAGCAATCAAACCATAAAGGAATAGAGTAAGAAAGGAACTAAGAGGAAATAGAAAAACAACCATTAAACAAGTAACAAAATGATAATGATATACTATCAATAATTAATTTGAATGTCAGTGGATTAAATGCTCC